CCAAGAAAATTCTATTACAGTGAACCACATTATTTAAATGGATTTCTTCGTCAGTTAGTCGTCTGTCACTTCGTTTGTGGTTATACCATAGAGGTAACTGTTGGTTATACTGTGTAAATAGTTCATTGAGGTAATTTAACATTATGGTGTATTTTCTTGATATCAAGAGCAAATTTTCATTACGTCGAATGTAACAAAGGTAAACAAAGTCGAGCTAGCAGTGTCAATCGATTCTCCTGCTATTACACTATATACTGTCCGAATATAGGATCAAATCCCATTTTTAAATTTATTTACCAGTCAAATTGCTTTTTGACGTAATCACCTTCCGATCAAAATAGTTTTCGATGTTACTTAAGTCACCCAATTTCTATGGAGATGCCGTTTGACTTAAGTAACAGCGCTGAGAAACCCGTGAAAAGTGTACGTTCGTCGTTTCGCTTTCTCATTATTAAAGTGAATAAATCGAACTGTTTGTTGCTAAGATGATTTCGGTGGTCCTAAAATGATGAATGGGCTGCACGTAAGGAGACGTAATTTATAATTCTCCCGAATATCCTGGTAAATACACTTTGACTTAAGTAACAATAGGGGCCACCAAACGACGTATAATAACTTTTTACTCAAAAACCAGTATTTTTTAGCATGAAAGCTAGCGATTTGCATTTATATGATTAAAACCCTGCTAAATATGTTAAACATTGCTATCACTATGAGATTATATGTGTTTACTTGGAAATAGGAATAACTTTTCGGTCATCAAAACAAAACTTTATTTTTCTCGGATTGGTGCGAATGTTACTTACGACATAATGAAAATTTGCTCTTGATATATTCAAACGATTAAATTCGATAAGCACTTACTATATCCCATACAGTTCGTATTTATTCCTTTTTCTTGGATCAGGGATTATGACTGATCTTTATCTTACAACTGCTGACAGCATGGTACCATTATTTAAGTGACCTGCTAGTATAGTGGTACCATAGAGGTAACTCTAAGACTAGAAGGTCCCGAAATAACTTGCTCAACTTTTTGGCTCAGCTCTGGTACTCTCTTCGGTCCCAAGCTAATCGATTCACCCCTCGAAACATAGGAAAAACCAATAACCCCTCATTTTATCTGTCAAACTTTCATAGCGAATCAAAACAAACATTGCGTAGTACTAGAATTTCGACTAGAATGGGGTACGTTAATCGTTTGCTTGGGACCAATAGGCTAGTCAAGTAGTGAGCCAATTTAAAATCGCTAGTTTCGTATTGATTGTTGGTGGTACCATGTTGACAGTAGATGTGAGATCGAATTCAGCCTAAGTTAACGATTCATTTTGTGTAAAAACTAATTTATTCTTAAGAAACATCCACCGTCAATAAAAAACAAAAGTAAAAAAAAAACTGCCGATAGAAAACCTTTCATCGCTAGTTGATTTCACACCGTTATTACCGGGTCACGGCCGCAACTGCGTATTCCACCATATCATGCCACTCGTCAATCCGCTGAAAGCACTGCCAGTACTATTTACTCAACATGAAACGGCCACCACAAAAAAAAACGAGTACGGGCCCAAGAAGTCGCTGGACAGTGCCAAACGCATCTACTTGCATCGCGCATCATCTTTTTGCAGGAAATCTTCAACTTCGTGATAAATCTTCTTTATATCTACTCAGCGTACGCGCAGCTAACCACAGCTAAACACAATATTTCCTGCATCGTAGATAGAGTCGTCCCCCTCGGTCTGAACGTACTATTATAGTACGTTCAGACTACAGAGTTATAACATGTTATAGCGCTAACTTGATGGTGGTTTCTGTGTTGCAATTATTTGACAACCGTTATAACATGTTATAACCATAGAGGTAACTCTAAAACCAGAAGGTCCCGAACAAACGATCTCAACTTTTTGGCTCAGCTCTGGTACTATCTTCGGTCCCAAGCTAATCGATTCACCCCTCGAAACATAGGAAAATTCACTAACCCCTCATTCTATCTGTCAAACTTTCATAGCGAATCAAAACAAACATTGTGTAGTACTAGAATTTTGACTATAATGGAGTACGTTAATCGATTTGAGACCAATAGGCTAGTCAAGTAGTGAGCCAATTTAAAATCGTTAGTTTCCACCGGTTGTTATGACTCTTCAGTCTGGACAGCGTTTTAGGATAGAATATCTTTTAACTTTTAACATTTATTCACCAGCCTTGGTTGATCTCCCCGGGAGTCACTTCATACTGAAGTATGTTATTGAAGATAACAATTTGAACATAATTGAATTAAGTTAAACACTTTTGTTTTACACTCTGGATTTTCAAATCAACATGACGGGAAGCAACTGGAGCAAAACTAAAACAGGGTACACTTGTTCACTAATACATGTACATAAATTATTCCACTTATCATTTTATCGTCATTTTAGGATTCAGTAGATCCCAGTGTGCGTGTAATTTCGATCTATTTTAATTAGTGGAAGATGATTAATGATAGTATTTGGATTATTTACCGTATTATAACCACTTTTGTGACAGTTCAATGAGAATGTTCTAGCATTTTTTAAATGAGGGTTTTCTCAAAGGGAAAACAAATAATTATCATTGGATGGTATACCATATTTTAAGAATACGTAATATTAGCAACATAAAATGTTTTACCATACGTTATCGCTGAGAGCGTACAGTACAAGTATAAATGAAATCAAGGTTGCAAACACTCATTTCAGCTAAAACAATGTTTTTTTTTTAAATTATGAAATAATTAGACGCCATGATCATATTTTGAATTGGTAGGATACAAGAAGAGGTTGCAACGAATGTGTTTGACATATTGAACTTGTTTATTTCACTTCATGAGAGTCACAAACAGCGATTTTCAACACACTCACTCACTCACTCACTCACTCACTCACTCACTCATCGATCAGTAAATCGCTAGAAAGCAAAATTTACAGGTTTTATGTTTCAAACGCATACTTTGTAACCTCTTCTTGTAAGTTACAAGTAAAACATGCCATCATACCATCTTTTGGTTTTATTATTCCGAAAAACTTTATTTTAGCTGAAATGAGTATTTGCAACCTTGAATGAAATATAACTCAAAAAGTAACGGCATGACTTGAGTCTTTTCTATAGTATGAATCACTTCATAAATAGTTTTTGATTATGTGGGCGGTGGCAACTAACGATTTTAAATTGGCTCACTACTTAACTAGCCTATTGGTCCCAAGCAAATCGATTAACGTATTCCATTCCAGTCGAAATTCTATCACTACACTATGTTTGTTTTGATTCGCTATGAAAGTTTGACAGATAAAATGAGGGGTTCGTGGATTTTTCTTTGTTTCGAGGGGTGAATCGATTAGCTGGGGACCGAAGAGAGTACCAGAGCTGAGCCAAAAAGTTGAGCACGTTTCTTCGGGACCTTCTGGTCTTAGAGTTACCTCTATGGTTATACACTGGAGCCGCTTTTTACGCGGTTTGTTTTACACATTTTTTACGCGGTTGTTTTTTACGTGGATTTCGGAATTTACGCGTTTTTTTTACGCGGCACGTATCCCCCGCGTAAAAAGTGACTCCAGTGTACTCATTTCTAGTGAATTTAGCGAACAGTAATGTTTATTTACTTTGCTCGTTTGGTTCAGCGTTTGACGGTTCGTTTGGTTCTTCTTGCTTCAGTGTATTGAGCTTTTTGACGTTTAATCGGCGCACATCATCCCTGTGTACTAGATAGACTCAGCTGGGTGGCATCCCTATCTTGTTTGCCTTGCCTTGAAAAGAGCTAACATCGCTGCGGGCCCGCGAGTCGTGGGCCCCACTGACAGCTCATAATTTGCAAACAAATAGAAGATTCATGCCAGAATTTCAAAAAAAGTATATTTTAGATATTCTTAATATTTTTGTTTACATTTTGTGAAAAATAAACTTAGAACTCATAAAATATTATTTTCTGATTTTCTACCACGAAGTCAACCATTTATATGGCATGAAAGGGAAAATAATTTCATTTGATAAAAATTAGACAATGCAGTCACGCCATTTTTGCAGTTCACACTTGAATTGTGACGTTTCAGATGTGGGTTTCAATAACATGGCGGCATATCACCCAACCACAAACGAAGTGACAGACGGAGCGGCTCGAAAACTTTAATGACTAACCTGCTATTTCAATTTTTCAGTGTACCACATGGCAACACCACTACTACTGAATTGTACCACATGGCAACACTACTACTGGATTGTATTAGCATTTTCACCAAATGTATTAGAATGTTTTGGTTCTATCTCTTTCACTCTACTCAAAACTAAAATGCATAAAAAAATGACAAAATGATACACTCTTTGCACACTGTCAAAGAATCATTGTACACAAAATCAACTTTGTTCAAATCAAAACAAAAAAACTAACCCATCTGGTGGATGATGGCACAAGCTTCCAAGAAAATTCTATTACAGTGAACCACATTATTTTAATGGATTTCTTCGCCAGTTAGTCGTCTGTCACTTCGTTTGTGACCCAACTATTAAACTTAAACATCAAAAAGGTCTATGCGTGTCTCTCTGTATAGGACCTATTGAAAAGTGACGTGTGAGCTGTGTTTTGTAACAGTTACTCATTAATGGGTAACAGATACTCATTAATGGGTACAAAATTTTCTCATCAATGAGTTAAGCCACTTTTCTTCAAAATGGGTATTTGTTTACCCATTAATGGGTACTTTTAAGTTAGCGTGCATGCAACACTGTGTTGACAGATTGTGCAGTGTTGATTTCTAATGTTGTTTTCTTTTTGGCGGTGTATGGTGTAGTGTAAGCAGGAATAAGCACGAGTCCTTGACAGCTCAACATCATTTGTTTGTAAACAAAGGTGCATCCTATATCTACACCCTAAAATATTTCGGTGTACGGCAGTGTACCACCGGTGTAGCTACACCGCAAAAACGAAAACAACATGCAATTCGGTTAAAACAGTTTATTGCCGAGATGGACCGTCACACGGTCTAAGCCAGGAAAAAGAGGAGCAGACAAAAAACAGTTTATTCATACTAGACAAGTGTATTAAATAAATTTTATCTAGTTACTAGTTAAAAGGTAATAATACTCCCATCATCAAACTGAAATATGTCGTCCTGCTTCCGAAATTTGTTTGCTAACAAATTCCCTATCATTGGCATGGTGCACGTAGAAGCACTCCCAGGTGAGTCGTGAAATGTGTAAGGCCCAAAAATTGTAGGGTTACACTATATAGAAGGTTGAACGAACAGTTGGCGTAGGACTACACAGCAAAAAAAATGTAATATCGATCAACGTAATTCAAGCTGATGTATGAAATAATGATGTAATAGCAAAAAGCAGATACAATTTTACATCAATGGATGTAATTTTGTTCGCAAAATCGATGTATATCGTACAATGTGATATTACACAACCGATGAATTGACCTGGTTGCAGCAGTTTCGATGTAATATTCAACAACTTTTTTTGCTGTGTACGCTATTAAATGTAAACTATTTTGAGTAAAACATTATTTCATATAAGATTCTTATAAAATTGGTAATTGGTTAATTGCATGATCCAATCAGGTAGACGCATATAGCGGGTGATTCCTAGAATTTTTCATGCGGGTTTTGCTTCGCTAGGTTGAATTTAACCTATAATCATAATTGTGAAATGAATATTTGTCGCCCTGACGGTTTTGATTTGATGCGCATGGTTGTCGCATAGAGGGCCTGACATTAGATCCGTTTGCGTTGCGTTGACGTAAATTTGATAGTTAGACAATAGATTTAGCTGTCACTTTGCCGCAACGCGTCCGATCCGGATCTAATGTGCGTGGGCCTTAAGACTAGTAGGTCCCATAGAAACGTGCTCAACTTTTGGCTCAGCTCTGGTACTATCTTCGGTCCCAAGCTAATCGATTCACCCCTCGAAACATAGGAAAAACCAATAACCCCTCATTTTATCTGTCTTTCATAGCGAATCAAAACAAACATTGTGTAGTACTAGAATTTGTGAGCCAATTTTAAATCGTTAGTTTCGTATTGATTGTTGGTTGTCGATCGAGCGGGAAGCAATTCATGCCTTTTGTATATGCCAAACAGGGTAGCTTGAATATTAGACTAACCTGGTTAGTCGTTCCTTGATGAGCGCGCTGTACCGACACCGTGTGGCTGCGGCTGGTGGTTAACTGCAATCATGCAAAAAATTGTTGGTACTGTATACTGCTCTTTTCAGCATAGTTATCCCATTCGTAAAAACAGCAAGTTAAGAAAAATTCTGCTGAAGATTTTTTTTCTCTATGGACTCTTACGGACGGGACAACGTAGTCCTGACCAAAGTAGAAAATTTTTCCTGTTCATATTATGGTACTTGACAATCGATTCCAATGTATAACTCATTTTCGCCAAAAATGCTAATGGGACTGTTATGCCACATAGGGCAATTGAGGTCTCGGGGGTAGGAATACATGCTCGTGGTTCATTGATTCTTTAATTTACATGATGTTTTAGACAATGCTTGACGTTCACCAATTTTTCAAAAGTATTTTGTTGAAAAGCAATAGTTTTACCCTTGGTACTGCGAATTCACTCAATGTGATTGTCAAGCGCGAGCCAAACATTCAGAAGCAATAAATGCAGTTACTGTTCTTGTCTATCGTGAAGCTTTGTAATCTCATAAAAATGATCCACACGTTTTCATAACACATCCTTAATGTTATGCTCAAAGACAAGTGATGCAAGTATAAAAATCAGCATAGTTTTTATGACTCAGCATAGTTTCCAATTGCAGTAAAACACACTTTAGCGAAGCATGTATGTAAATCAACTTTTATAGATTGATGGGAGCTCGAGCATTCCTGGCTCAGAGCCTTTGGCGGGAGTCAACTGAGAAAGAGCGAAACAGTTTTAAACTTGAACAAGTTTTCAAGCAGTTTTCCATTGGCTTGTAAAATAAAATTGATTTACTTCGCAGTACCCAGGTTTTACCTATTGGACTCAAAGACAAGAGGGGTAGAGAAAATTCTGATCGATCGATGCAAAGAAATTGAAAATGTATCATGGAATAGCGGAGTTATAATCTATCAAAACCTGGCCACTTTTCGTTACATGTTCATTGAGGTTAAAACACAAGGTGTAGAAGTGTAGAAAACAAAGACGTAGACATTCATTAATTGCCAGCTACTTTTTACAATTGAAAATTTGTGTTGGATCAAAATATGAGTAAAAGAGCAGATGAATTATTAAATTCAAAACAAACAAAAGCGTAGGATGATGAAATGTGTCAGTTAGATAGGTCTTACTTACATAATCATGGAAATTCTCATACGGTCTGTTTTTTCAAGGATCCCCTTTTTGCAAAAGAGATTTCAATGCGACGATTGATAAAGCAGTCCAAGAAGCAAAAGTTTATGCAGACAATGGAATAGTATGAAAAGCGTTATGTACCTGGTGTAATCTATTAACAAACATGCTAATTTTCTCCCAAATCGACAGGATGCAATAATGATTGAAAACATGTATGATATCCCGTATGTTCAAAGCAGATACTTTGGTCCGGAAACGGTAGCATGCATGGCGAGAATTGCCACTGTTATCAGAGAAACTATTGGAGATAATATTCCATGTGGAATTCAGGTAGGTGTTCAAGGTACTGATGATGAACGCATAAATATCCGATGTAGATAGGAATTCCATATCACAGGGAACAGATTTAGCGATAGTAAAGATGTCGATAATAAAGTCGTGTGACTCTCTGTAGCTGTTACATAATTAGGGGGAATAATATCACCAACGAAATAATACACTACAATGATTATTTTTCTCCACATGGTTATCGTATCATTTTCTTCTATTTACAGATTTTAGCTTGCGGTAATAAAGAAGCATTAGCCGTAGCTAAGGCGTGCAATTTAAACTTTATACGTGCTGAAGGATATGTTTTCTCTCACGTAGCGGATGAAGGATTTACCGATGCTGATGCAGGACAAATATTAAGATATCGGAAGCATATCAATGCTGAAAATATTCAAATTTTTACTGACATTAAGAAGAAGCACAGGTACTTCCTGCAGATTATGTCAATTTCCATCCGTTATATTTTCTCAAATTAATTCTAGCTCCCACGCCATAACGAATGACGTCTCGCTACTGGAAACAGCCAAAGCAGCAGAATATTTTCGCTCGGATGGAATTGTACTAACGGGAAGTTCCACCGGCTGCGAGACTAACGTGGAAGAAGTTGGATCATTGAAAAGTGAAGTCCTACTACCATTGATTGTAGGATCCGGGGTTACTATAGACAATATAAGTAAATATTGGAATTTGGCTGATGCTGCTATAGTCGGATCACACTTTAAAAAAGATGGACATTGGAAAGGCGAATTAAGTGAGACTAAAGTACGTTCTTTCATTGAGAAGCTAGATGGCTTTCGGAGTAAGGTTTAGGAGTGTAACGTTGCGTGGTTTTTAAATAAAGATAAACTATCGATTATTGATAAATTATTTATGTAACAACAAGTGACCCTTAGGTTTAAGTTTACTCTGCAGGATACTCTTCTTCTCCATTTGTTTTTCTTCCTGCAATTTGTTGTACCGTTCTAATGCGAAGTCCATTTCCTTTGACATTGTAACAATTTTAGTTGCAAGTTCATGCTGCTGCAGTAGCTTTTTCTTTTGGTTTGCCTATGAGTTAAACATTCATATTTCATTAAAGGTCTTATGAACAAAACAATAAGGCCCGTTCTCGTACATCAGCAGTAGCTACACTCCCTAGTATTTAGAGCGTAACGAGTTAAGCACTTCATTAAAGCAGTTACAATGAAATTTATTATCACTTGATCTTCAAATTAAACCTATTGTATTTCTATTTTCCTAACACAGAGAAAAGTATTTAACATTAACTCTTCGAGCTCCAAACCAAAACCATATATTTCGCTATTTTTGTAATATCTTTGTTATGTTAAACGGATTTCTAATGTATTTATTTTGTTAATAAGGGTATCAGTCTTGCCTTTTTAATAGTTTAATTGGCCATGTCACACGAAGACGGGTTCGATGGTTAATTTAATTTTGAATGTTGGTCGTTTCTGTAGACAAGTTGTTTTAGCAAGCTAGAATTGATTGATTTTTTCCTAATATGTACCATGAAAGATTATAAAAGTACCTAATAGAATGCTCCATGCTCAAATTTGTTGTTGCACTGTTACATAGTACAGTAACAGTGGCTACAGAATACAGAATACTGGCCTTCGGAAAAATATGTTTAATAAATAATCAGGAATTTATGGTATTAAAACAGAACCGTAATAAACAGGTCAATTAAACATTGAAAATAACCTTTCTAGCGGTATAAAAATATTAGCCAGAATAGGTGATAAATACACATTATTTAATTAAAAATGCCGTTCAGTTTGGGACCCGAAAAATTAAGGCATTTCACAAAAAAACGTAAGTTTAATGTTGTTGGTCTCTTTTGTGTCTACATCGTTGAAACTACTTTTCAAAGTGGTACAAAGTGGAATCTAGAATATATATTTAAGATAAGGTGGGACAAGATGGGTTATCTACCGTGCCAGCACCATATTTGACGAGTCCCTAATGATGACGCACTCGTGTTATTTTTATCGCATCTCGATTTTGACAAGATATTTTTTTAAACTTTGTTACACCATCATCCCTAGAGCACAGGAACTAATATTTGCAGATGTAACATTTCAAAAATAATGATTGAAAATAGTCGAACATTATTGAGTTTTAGGAACCGCTTCGAACATGGTGCCTCCACGGTATTTGATTTATTTAGCTTTTTGATTGTCAACATCAACAGGCACAATGCTGGTTTGTTAAAGCAAACCATCTTTGGTTTGTCATTGAATCTGTCGATTTGTATTACCCATCTAGCCCCACCTTACCCTACCTATTAGGGTGATTCAAAATATCGATTTTGCTTCAAATCTAAATTTCATTCCATAATTTCATGCAAGCATTCATACGACTGCCTCAATGAGGCCCCAGGTTCTGATCACTCCTAAAAAAATTGAGCTCATTTATTATAGTCACTTTAACGCTCTTGGGTCATTCGTGACTTGTCCGAGGGTGAGATTTGAACTCGTGACTATAGCGTGAGATATGGATGCTAACCATTATGCCGGGGTCGCCCCCTTCCCCTTTGAAGTTTATATGACATATATTGCTTTTTACATCAAACTCGACAAATAAGCGCGTGTTCGCTTATTAAAAAGTGTGATACTGCGAGTTTCCGTCTAAACGTCTTGTTGTCTTCGGTTCCTTATGATTCAAGCAATAAAAGCTCCGAAGATACCTAAACGATTTGACGAAAACGTGCATTTTATCACACTTTTTGCATTTTTTTGGGTAGTCCAGTTTTTGATGCAATCAGCAATGCTATGGGAAAAGAGAACTTTTTGATTTATGGATAAACTTGCTTTAACTACTTATAGCAAATTTTCTCAGCTACAACTTTGCTGAAGACCACTTTTAATCGAACTTAATGAATTGCTTCATCAACTGCTCAGCTGGCAACATTACTTGGCGCGAATAGAGATTGCTAAAGTATGATTGTGTTAGTAATTTTTCCCGATGAAAACATTTCTCGTATACGTATACGCTACCTAGTGTGTGTACGATAAACGACAGCAATCTCTATAATAGACGAGTGCACGGATGGATTTGAGTTCACTCACTCTAGAGTCGGTGTATAATGAGTCACGCCAAGAGTGAAGCCAAGTCTACCTATTGAACTGTCAAAGCGGCTACCTATCGTGCAAAGTAAATAAACATTACGATGCTATGAAAGGTTCACGAAAGGTATTGCAATAAAATATAAAATATAATCGAAGAAATGAGCATAAACACGCAGTGAGCGTTAAATTGTCATGGGATACGCTCGGTAATGATTAGTAATGAGAATTTCTACTATTTTTGTTAAGATAATTTGACAAAATCACTGATATAATGATTTAATACAGCCGCAGTATTTTTTCTCTCGCTAGAAGTCATTTGAAGTTGTTGTAGAAGTCCTCTGTTGCCAAGTGAAAAGAATTGGAATCTTTCGAAAACCGTGATGCGAGTTCAACTGTTTTTCTCTTGGCGTGACTCATTATACACCGACTCTAACTCACTCGACAAAAAGTGACACAACAGCGGGGCCCTGTTTACTAAAAATGAACACATGAATAATACTCACGTAACATTTGAAACCGGCCTATCAACTTTCGTACACAAAACTTGTTAAGCCTAGAGTCGGTGTATAATGAGTCACGCCAAGAGAAAAACAGTTGAACTCGCATCACGGTTTTCGAAAGATTCCAATTCTTTTCACTTGGCAACAGAGGACTTCTACAACAACTTCAAATGACTTCTAGCGAGAGAAAAAATACTGCGGCTGTATTAAATCATTATATCAGTGATTTTGTCAAATTATCTTAACAAAAATAGTAGAAATTCTCATTACTAATCATTACCGAGCGTATCCCATGACAATTTAACGCTCACTGCGTGTTTATGCTCATTTCTTCGATTATATTTTATATTTTATTGCAATACCTTTCGTGAACCTTTCATAGCATCGTAATGTTTATTTACTTTGCACGATAGGTAGCCGCTTTGACAGTTCAATAGGTAGACTTGGCTTCACTCTTGGCGTGACTCATTATACACCGACTCTAGTTAAGCCTTTTTCGCGCGAACCGAATACGACCACGCAAACTAACATCACCATCGGGTAGGGGAAATTCCCCTCTTTCCGACAGTGCTCTTGGTTTGCGTGGACGTACTTCGGTTCTCGTGGAAAGGACCTAGCAAATTATTTACAAAAATTGATATGCCCTTTTCAAATGTTACGTGAACATTATTCATGTGTTCATTTTTAGTAAACAGGGCCCGCTGTTGTGTCATTTTTTGTTCAGTAGATGAACAAAAGTTCACCCGTGCACTCGTCAATAGAGCAAAAAATCCAGGCTATTATAATAAATGTCAGAGCAAGATGCAGTGTTTATAGATATGCCTATTGCCGCTATTTGCATAACAGTCTCATGTCCTGTGGGCAAAGTATATTCGTTATGATTCAGATAGCACAGTAGGATGACGAGAGCAACACATTTTCCATAGTAAATTCCACATAAACTTCAAAGGGCCATGCAGTATGAGAGCACAGCTAATGAATTCAATTTTTGGAAGAATGATCAGAGGCCTCATTGGGGAAGTCGAAACGAAGCGTTTTTAGTATGAACGCCTGTATGGAAACAATCGTTTCGATATGTTGAACCACCGTAATGTATATTCTATGTTGTCCATTGTTGCTCTCTAATAAGATTACGTTTACATTAACCGAACATGTTGTTCACAAAGAGAATCTGCTGTGCGAGAATGGGCCTAATTTGTACTTACCCCTAGAGGCGTAACTCTACCATCCATAAAGGTATAATCTGGAAGATCTGTTAATGGTCCTGATTTGTTAGGATTCTTCGGTAGGTTGTTCTTTTCACACCATTTATGCCCGGCGTGCTTATAGGTTGAGGTTGAGCTTAGCGCACGGATGATGTAATCTATTGAAGTTCAAGTAGGATTAGAAATATAAAGACAATTGTGCACAACAATATTCTTACGTGGTGCTATACTGCCTCTGTAGGTTACTTGCGCAAATAAACTCATTTTCCTTGATTTTTGTCGTCAATATTTCTTTATAGTTTTGTCCTCTCAAAGCCGAAAAAAGAATCAAAACAATATGACTGTCAGGTCAGTCGGTGCGTTCCCGTTGACAGTATGGTCCATGGTGGGAACACGCTATTTCAAAACTTCCCAAATTTGGGAAGAATCCACCCAGATTGGTCAAAACTGAAGCTACCCAAAAATGGGTAAACTATGATGGGAGTGACAAGTTGACAAATAAACAAAGTCGCCCGCATAAATGCGAACCATCACATGACCTTACCGATAATGGTTATAAATTGTTTATAATCCCTGCTAAACTTCAACTGAAATGGTTATGGAACTTTACATGAACGTTTGTGTGATAAAGTTTTAACCTTATGTATTATGGTTTTTTGGAAGCGGACCTTACAAATAATGGGTTGTTAAGAACCATTACCATTCCAAATTCTTGTTTTCTCTATACATTTTCGGAAAGAGAACTATATTAGAACGTTTTTACTTATGGTTTGAGAACATTAATGGTTATGGTTATGGTAGTCAGTAAGGTCCATTAATGGTTTTGTATTATCGCTCAACTTTACGTGAAATATATCGTGAATTGGTAATCAGTAATTTACAGGCAACCAATTCGCGATATATTCCACATAAAGTTGATCGATGTTACAAAACCATTCATGGACCTTACTGGTTACCATAACCATTACCATTAATGTTCTCAAACCATAAGTTAAAAGGTTTTAGTATAGTTCTCTTTCCGAAAATGTATGGAGAAAACAAGAATTTTGAATGGTAATGGTTCTTAACAACCCATTATTTGTAAGGTCCACTTCCAAAAAACTATAATACTTAAGGTTAAAACTTTATCATTAAACGTTCATGTAAAGTTCCATAACCATTTCAGTTGAAGTTTAGCAGGGATTATAAACAATTTTAACCATTTTAGGTAAGGTCAATTTATGGTTCGCACTTATGCGGGCGATCGGCATGAAGATGTTGTGAATTTGTCAACTTGTCACTCACAACATAGTTTACACATTTGTGGGTAGGTTCAGTTTTGACCGATCTGGGTGAATTCTACCCAAATTTAAGTAGATTTAGCGTGTATATACAGTGTGATCAACGACGGTGGTAGTGGTAAGTGTGATTACCTCTCGCCCCAGTAGGCCTGGGTTCAATCCCAGTCGGCGCCGCCGGGATGTTCTGAGGCATCACGGATAGAAATCTCCTTATACCTTTTGGCAAATTTCCATTGCTGATTATTCATAAAATGTATAAGTCAACTAATAAGCAGACGCCTTGCAAAAAGTTAATAAAGATCATGTGTCAAATGAAATGTATAAGCGGTCACACATACCTTTTATGCATTCTAATAGGAGCTATGTGGTTTGTCTTATGGAATTTATAAGGCTGATGCTTTGGCAAAAATGTATAAGTGAAACACATGAATTAAATAATTGATTTTCGTTTCGTGAGACCTGTGCACGGGTGAACTTAAGTTCATCTACTGAAAAAAAATGACCCAACAGCGGGGCCCTGTTTACTAAAAATGAACACATGAATAATGTTCGCGTAACATTTGAAAAGAGCCTATCAACTTTTGTAAATAATTTGCTAGGTCCTTTTCACGAGAACCGAAGTACGCCCACGCAAACCAAGAACACTATCGGGAAGGGGAAAATTTACTCTGCTAGATGGTGTTGTTAGTTTGCGTAAGCGTATTCGGTTCGCGCGAAAAAGGCTTAACAAGTTTTGTGTACATAAGTTGATAGACCCGTTTCAAATGTTACGTGAGTATTATTCATGTGTTCATTTTTAGTAAACAAGGCCCCGCTGTTGTGTCAAAAAAATTTTAGTAGAGAACTAAAGTCACCCGTGCACACCCGCATAAACGCGAACCATAAATTGACCTTACGTAAAATGGTTAAAAATTGTTTATAATCCCTGCTAAACTTCAACTGAAATGGTTATGGAACTTTACATGAACGTTTAATGATAAAGTTTCAACCAAGGTTGCAAAGACTCATTTCAGCTAAAATAATGTTTTTCGGAATAATAAAACCAAAAGATGGTATGATGGCATGTTTAACTTGTAACTTACAAGAAGAGGTTACAAAGTATGCGTTGGAAACCGAGTTGGAAACATAAAACATGTAAATTTTGCTTTCTATGAGTCACAATCAGCGGTTTGCTGATCGCTGAGTGAGTGAGTGAGTGAGTGAGTGAGTGTGAAAAATCGCTGATTGTGACTCTCATGAAGTGAAATAAACAGGTTTAATATGTCAAACACATTCTTTGCAACCTCTTCTTGTATCCTACCAATTCAAAATTTGATCATGGCATCTAATTATTTCATAATTTAGAAAAACATTGTTTTAGCTGAAATGAGTCTTTGCAACCTTGGTTTCAACCTTATGTATTATGGTTTTTTGGAACTGGACCTTACAAATAATGGGTTGTTAAGTTGGTAAGTGTGATTACCTCTCGCCCCAGTAGGCCTGGGTTCAATCCCAGTCGGCGCCGCCGGGATGTTCTGAGGCATCACGGATAGAAATCTCCTTATACCTTTTGGCAAATTTCCATTGCTGATTATTCATAAAATGTATAAGTCAACTAATAAGCAGACGCCTTGCAAAAAGTTAATAAAGATCATGTGTCAAATGAAATGTATAAGCGGTCACACATACCTTTTATGCATTCTAATAGGAGCTATGTGGTTTGTCTTATGGAATTTATAAGGCTGATGCTTTGGCAAAAATGTATAAGTGAAACACATGAATTAAATAATTGATTTTCGTTTCGTGAGACCTGTGCACGGGTGAACTTAAGTTCATCTACTGAAAAAAAATGACCCAACAGCGGGGCCCTGTTTACTAAAAATGAACACATGAATAATGTTCGCGTAACATTTGAAAAGAGCCTATCAACTTTTGTAAATAATTTGCTAGGTCCTTTTCACGAGAACCGAAGTACGCCCACGCAAACCAAGAACACTATCGGGAAGGGGAAAATTTACTCTGCTAGATGGTGTTGTTAGTTTGCGTAAGCGTATTCGGTTCGCGCGAAAAAGGCTTAACAAGTTTTGTGTACATAAGTTGATAGACCCGTTTCAAATGTTACGTGAGTATTATTCATGTGTTCATTTTTAGTAAACAAGGCCCCGCTGTTGTGTCAAAAAAATTTTAGTAGAGAACTAAAGTCACCCGTGCACACCCGCATAAACGCGAACCATAAATTGACCTTACGTAAAATGGTTAAAAATTGTTTATAATCCCTGCTAAACTTCAACTGAAATGGTTATGGAACTTTACATGAACGTTTAATGATAAAGTTTCAACCAAGGTTGCAAAGACTCATTTCAGCTAAAATAATGTTTTTCGGAATAATAAAACCAAAAGATGGTATGATGGCATGTTTAACTTGTAACTTACAAGAAGAGGTTACAAAGTATGCGTTGGAAACCGAGTTGGAAACATAAAACATGTAAATTTTGCTTTCTATGAGTCACAATCAGCGGTTTGCTGATCGCTGAGTGAGTGAGTGAGTGAGTGAGTGAGTGTGAAAAATCGCTGATTGTGACTCTCATGAAGTGAAATAAACAGGTTTAATATGTCAAACACATTCTTTGCAACCTCTTCTTGTATCCTACCAATTCAAAATTTGATCATGGCATCTAATTATTTCATAATTTAGAAAAACATTGTTTTAGCTGAAATGAGTCTTTGCAACCTTGGTTTCAACCTTATGTATTATGGTTTTTTGGAACTGGACCTTACAAATAATGGGTTGTTAAGAACCATTACCGTTCCAAATTCTTGTTTTCTCCATACATTTTCGGAAAGAGAACTATATTAGAACCTTTTAACTTATGGTTTGAGAACTCTAATGGTAATGGTTATGGTAGTCAGTATGGTCCACGAATGGTTTTGTAACATCGATCAACTTTATGTGGAATATATCGCGAATTGGTTGCCTGTAATTTACTGATTACCAATTCACGATATATTCCACGTAAAGTTGAGCGATAATACAAAACCATTAATGGACCTTACTGACTACCATAACCATTACCATTAAAGTTCTCAAACCATAAGTTAAAAGGTTCTAATATAGTTCTCTTTCTGAAAATGTATGGAGAAAACAAGAATTTGGAATGGTAATGGTTCTTAACAACCCATTATTTGTAAGGTCCATTTCCAAAAAACCATAATACATAAGGTTGAAACTTTATCATTAAACGTTCATGTAAAGTTCCATAACCATTTCAGTTAAAGTTTAGCAGGGATTATAAACAATTTTTAACCATTTTAGGTAAGGTCAATTTATGGTTCGCGTTTATGCGGGCAGGTCTATAACATCTCTGATCACTCTTTCCTTCGAAAGGGAAGTAAAACGCTGTCCAGACTGGAGAGTTATAACATGTTATAACGATTGTCAAATAATTGCAACACAGAAACCACCATCAAGATAGCGCTATAATATGTTATAACTCTGTAGTCTGAACGTACTATAATAGGCTAGTAAATTCGTTTGTTTTTACTGGTTGTTACTAGAGTCGGTGTATGTATTATACTCTACACGGAAAGAAATCTCCTTATACCTTTTGGCAAATTTCTATTGCTGATTATTCATAAAATGTACACTCAAAAAATATTAAAATCTAAATAGTATAAAAGTTACGCTAAATAGCAACTCTCCGTACCGACACAAAGGTCGGTATAAAGGGAGAGAATGCAAACTTAGTATAAAAATGGTTTATGCGTGTCATAGTATAAAATCGAAATATACTTACAATGCATAGATACGGTTTGTTCAAGAGAATGTATTTTTCGCTTCTTTATTTTATTCATGGTAAATATTATTGTGTTCAAATGAAAATAAAAATTGTCTCAGGAAGCTTTTTTCATTAGTTTATTTTTTATTAATAATATTTAAAAAATACCTACAATTTCGATGCTGCCCAGCAGATTACAGGCGCAGTAGAAATCCGCTGGGACAAAGACCTTCACCAGCACGAAGCTCCGAAGGGAATCCAGATGTTCTTATTCCTGTCATTTTAGTAAACACTGATCGAATTCCACTCCATTATTCGGACTTAGTATAATTTTGACGAAAATTTTAATCGAACCAATGTATAAATTTTGAAAAACCATAAAATGCATAAAATTTAATCTATATTCGTTTTGTAATATTTTTGAGTGTATAAGTCAACTAATAAGCAGACGCCTTGCAAAAAGTTAATGCAGCTCATGTGTCAAATGAAATGTATAAGCGGTCACATATACCTTTTATGCATTCTTGTAGGACCTATGTGGTTTGTCTTATGGAATGTATAAGGCTGATGCTTTGGCAAAAATGTATAAGTGAAACACATGAATAAAATAATTGATTTTCGTTTCGTGTAGTTGTTACAACCTCGCTTAAAATATAACCATAAAATTGTTATTTAAGATTTACCGTGATCATAGATTTTGACGTTTCGTCTTCGACATTTCCGAGAAAGCAAAATGGTTGACAGAAAAATATAAAAACATTTCACTGTTTGAACTTTGTGAAAATTTGTGAGTTTTGTCGAAAAAAATATGTATTAGGGCATACGAAAATCAATTGAGCGTACTAATCAAATGTAATAGTAACGGAAAAACATCGATCTGGCCAAAATGTCGACTAGATCTCAACTTACTAAAGACCTAAATGGTAAGTAAATGTGTGACTAATGGGAATTCCATCGAGCGTAAAGATGGGTAAAGAGCATAAATACAGACTTCAATGTAAATAATGTTCATCATGAAAAACATGATAATCATTAATTATTGACGTAAATAATGCGCGACGTCAATAATAGAAATGTACATACATATTAAAATATAGTTACAGGTATTCATGATGTTTTTAGATATGTATGTCAACCTGGTTCAGATTTGAAACATAATTTTGTAATAACTGCTTGCATTAGACATGTTGAGAAACCCGTTTTATCACACGGATTTATATATTTATTTATATGATAACAGGAGAAACTGGGGCAAGGCGACAACGTTGAAAACCACAGATTATGACACTTAAATTGGTAAAATAATCGGCCCTCACCAAAAGGAAGAGTTTAAAGTGTTTTCTACTGTAATGTAATTAACAGCTTAGCGCCAGCTGTAAATCTCCTTAATGGTAATAACTGTAAATCTCCTTAATTATAACCAACAAACAGCAGGAGGGGAGGGGAGAGTGTCTACAATTTATTTACATTAAAAAAAAAAGTGTCTGTCTTTGCAGGGTTAGCGGGGACAGGGTTTAAAATTGTTCCATGTAGCTTATGGGCAGCTTTTCCACCAAATTTAGTTTATTGACATTTAATCAATTGGGACGGCATCATTTTCATTGTTTGAAAAAGAGGGTATCAAATCCTCATTACGACGCCGTGAGCCACTCAGCATATTCTCAGTATATCGTTTATGGCGGTAAGATCCTTGAACCTGAACAATTCGAGCAGTTTAAAATGACGTCTCTTACCACTCGAACTTTGTCGTGGAGTAATACCTACTTTGATTAGTTTTTTCTAGACTGTCGAGAAAATTGAAAACTTTGTCAAGCAGTTTTGGAAGAAAGTCTTCTACCAGCGATTTCACAAAACTGGAAAAACTAATTTCTATTTTTTTATGAAATGCACATATCAGGCATAACATTTGATAACGGCACAAAAGCATTTGTAAACAAACATTCTAAGGCCCTTTACACGCGAACCAAAGTACGCCCACGCAAACCAATACCACTTTCGGAAAGGTGATAGTTGCCCCTATGCGATGATGTTGTTAGTCTGCGTGGGCGTACTTTGGTTCGCGTGTAAAGGGCCTTAGAAGGTTTGTTTACAAATGCTTTTGTGCCGTTATCAAATGTTATGCCTGATATGTTGGCTACTTTTCCCGAGATTCTAGAAGAAAAAATCTCAAAATAATGTTTCATTTCAAAGTTCGAGTGGTAGTAAACGTCATTTTATCTGCTCGAATGAAGTGGTTAATAGGGAGCATAAAAAATGTGGAGTTAATTAACCACTTCATTCGAGCAGTTAAAATGACGTTTACTACCACTCGAACTTAGAAATAAAACATTATTTTGAGATTTTTTCTTCTAGAATCACGAGAAAAGTAGCCAACATTTGTGCTTTCCATAAAAAAAAATAGAAATTAGTTGGTCCAGTTTTGTGAAATCGCTGGTAGAAAGTCACGCCAAAACTGCTTGACAAAGTGGTGTTCGTTCACCGCTCACTTTAGAGCAAAATCAAGTTCGCATCGTTAGTAAAATAACTTTTCATAAATATATTGAGCTGATTTTTACACTAGCTTGAAGTGCATTATAATTAGATTGTAGATAAAACATAAAACATCAAAAATAATGCTATTAAAATATCAATGCTACCTACGCCAGGGAGGCAACATTCACACCTGGACCCTACCTATCGAGCCATCAACTCATCATGAACCGGGGACCAACGGCTTTACTAGGAAGGCGTGATCAGAGAGGTTATCCCGCATAATCCTAAACTTTACAAATAAGTTCTTGCCACCATGACTACACAATTTCATTCATCTTCCACCTCAACATTAAGCTCACTCTACCTTTGATGGTTTCAACTATTTGGTAGATAGTGATAGACCAAATAACCATTTGGGTGAATGGCGGTTAAGTTAAGTTACCATAAAATATTGACGATTTTCCTGAACGAAAATTTCCTCTATACCACAAACAGTTAAGTTATACTGCGTTTTTTCACTCAACTCACGGTATAGGGAATAGTTATATAATAGTTTTATAATAGATTCGGGCGCTAAATAATTATAATACATGTAATTGTTAGTTTATGGTGTAATAAGGTTAAATAATTACTTACTACCTTGGCTAGTTTTTGCACCTTGCTGTTGGTGGGCGGGCTTAATTTCATGCTTTATAGTGGAGTGTTGGAGACGGTGGCTTTATGGCCAGCGGTGCTGGCTCATGCCGCGATAGAATGGCGTCATGGGCAGGCAATGGGGATTACTAAGCTTCCCCTCTCGGATGAACCACTGCATGAGAAAACCAAAGATCTAGTCCAGCAGTGATAGTATTACGTGGTATTACACTTGTTACGCCTTTGTTTGAGGGCCGTGTTGTAGTACACTTACTTATGGGCACTGACGTTGGGTGCGATACTGGCAGATTTTTCCATATTTTGATTTGGGATAAATGTTTTTTTGTGGTGCGACATAGTGGAAACGTGTGAGCGTAGTTGGAGCATATACCCTATATAATTTAAAAATCAGCTAGGAAACTAATTTCAAAGTGAAGCATTTTAGTCACTTAAAGGTGTCACTGTAACTTTGAATCTTTTGTAGCATTGTTTGGTATAGTTTTCCCCTGAGTTTATTGTACATACTCGATAATTCTCTCAATACGCGAGTTCGATATATGCGGTTAAAGCATTTGAGTTAACTTATTTCTTTGTGTTCAAGTACTTACATTTGTAAACAGCAGTCAATGTTAATCTATGAACTAAACCCTACGTAAAATTGATCTTTCCTTATGTGGTATTGATGCAACGCGCCTACGTCTACGGAGCTTACCCTAATAAAAATAACCATAAAAGAGAGCTTAACGACGTGTTCGGGGTATCATCCGAACCATTTGTGGGATAGTTTACCCATTCGGGATACAGTTCGTTTATGGTATTTGTTTATTAGGGTACGCAGAAGTGATTCGCAATGCGGTAGAGCCAGGCCAGTGACAAGGCCTATATCAACAGCAGCGTTTGACAGTAGGCAGCATGTCCCGGGCTCAAATCGTTTATTTTGCTGTACCTACTGGGCAATGAGCTGGATTACCGAGGTAGAGCAGTCGGTTAAGTTGTGTGAGTAAAACCCCTGTATGATACATGCAATTAGTGACGTCACTACTTGCGTTTAGGTTGATTTTTTGGATTACTAATACAACCATATTTCACGATCTGCTTCACCTCTCTCTGTACCTCATTGCCTACTTGGTCCTCTGTCACGGTATAACTATAGTCGCTATATTCATAGTCTGGCGGATAGAATTTCGATCTATGAACAAGTGGAACCAATTCAATATATTTTAGATCAACAATTGAAAAGGGAATATCAAATTTATAAACAAAACGTTGATTATTCTTTCCTCGTCAATCGAACGCAAATTACCGGCATCGCCGTATAGGGGAAATTTTCCCCAAGCCAAAGATGGCGTCAGTTTGAGTCACGAGAAAAGGGTTTTCGAAGTTTTGTTCGCAATAACTGATTTGCTCTTTTCAGTTTTTGGTCATGATTTGCTCGATTGGTTCCGCTATTTGACAGCTCAATTGGTTCCCGAGAATCTATCCGCCAGACTATGAATATAGCGACTATTGATGAATCTACGCGAAACTGCACCAGTGCTTGCGACACCTAGGTTTGAAATCCAAAACCACAAAAGTGATGATGTACTAAAAAATATTCCATTCGATTTGACAGGTAACAAAACGTCATTTTCATTTTCTCATCATTTCCATCTGCTGGTCGACCGTAACGTAGACACAGAGAACAGACATGGAGGCTCGAACAAAATTTCTCTAAAAACTTGTGTAACACACTAAGATTTTTTTACTGTATACTGTAATTTTTTACCGAATACGGAACAGCAAAACATTCGGTAAACGGTTCGGTAATTTTTTGTTGTTTTACAGTACATTCAGTAAATTTATCTTCGCTCGTGACCTGTCAAAATTTACTGAACCGCATTGTAAATTAAGCTGAATGATTGGTAAAGTTCACAATAGCACGCTATAGCGTTCCGTAAATTTTTTACCGACCATTTTGCTAAAGTTTTTTTTCTTTCTTAAAATTTGGTTATAAAAGCAAATCAAATGGTTTATTTGACTCATAAAAACATTTATTTTTATACGTATGTATTTATATTGCGAACACGGACGCGAATAAAGTTATCGGCGGCAAACTGGGAGATGCAGGAGATGAACCAGCTACTGGTTGAAAACCTCGATGATTAAAAACTCCGCACACATTGGTTGTTTTTTTCATTGCAGTTGTTGACATTCGGCTTATTCCATGGTGACTGGTAAACAGAAATGATTGACCTAGGACCCCTAGGACTGAATGCAAAATAAAATTCGGTTTCGCATAGATTACATAGATTATAGCAAAAAAAAACTTAAGTACTTACTTTTCACACTGGAGAAACAAAGACCACTCAAAATCTTGACAGCGAAGGTGACAATATGAATTTACATATCTGTTCGGTAATTTTTACAAGAATCTAGCATTTGACTACCGTTTGTTTTGGTAAAAGGCTTTATTTACAGTACGTTCGTCACACTTTTTTATAGTATTGTAAAATTGAAGCCATTTACAGTTTCGATCAGTAATTTTGGTTTACAGTTTTCGGTGATTTTCTGAAAATTACAGAAAATCAGTATTTTTCATTGCGGAAAGATGGTAATATACTACATTTTACATAAATATCGGTAAAAATGATATTTTACAGAACGAGTTCAGCAAAAAAAAGTACCGAACACAATTTAAGAAATTTGGTGTGAAAGATTCCTATTCGACTTAAGCGCCACTAACGGCGACTTCCCCACTTAAAAACCCTCTTTGACAACATGATGGCGCTGGCGTTGCACAAACTACACTAGACACTAAGTGCTAGTAGCGCCAAGTGGC